AAGTATTTCTGGTCGGAAATTTCAGAATCGGAAATGAAACTGAATTGTAGCTCAATTTCCACGAAATACTTCCAATGAACGCAGAAAGTTAACACAAAGTGATCTTGTCAACACAGCCAAAAATAACCGACCGGAGGACGCTATCCGCAGTTATGACCGAAGAGTTTAGTACATAGAAGATATGTACAACTTAAACGTAATTAAAGCAGTTATTGACGCAGATAAGCAAACATAATATACACAACAAGGTGTCCTGTTTGGAGGTGATCAATACTAACTTCAAAATTAGATCTTCTATTCAGGCCCATTATCCTCATACGGCCTCAATAAAATGTCCCGTCGCGCTTCAATGTTGGTCGACTCTAACTCAGAAGAAGTCTCAGTCTAGATGACTTCTCGTTCGAATTAATGAAAATAGTAGTAACATCATATGTTTAAAGATAGTTGATCCAGAGGTACTAGTCAATTTACAAGAGATTAATTAATAATGCAGAAATTAAACAAGCTGAAACTGTAATTTTCCTAGGTAAAAAGTGGTGGCGACTGTAAACATATATTTGCTGTTTTGGATGAAGGTAGTTTTTCCACAAGTTTATACCGGAATTTGTTAGTTTACCTAAAATTCTTGCTCGATTTTTAATAATGATTATGTGCTTTTGCCTTATAAAACCTATTCCAAGACGCACACTTCGCACTGCTCCGACATTGAGCGCATCCTTGGAATCTGTCTTTCAGGAAAATACTATCATTAATAGTTCCGGTTTTAGTTTCTTATTCATTGAGTGTGGCATAAGCGTAATATTTTTGCAGCAGTCAGGTTTTCACTACCTGTTAGAGGTATTAATTTGGATTCGCCTGTTAAAGTTTTGTTATTATACTTAAAGAATCATAGCACCAATACAATAGATACCTTCTTTCCAATTGGCTGGACAACTATAGTCTTCATGTGGCGCCAATCTCAGAGATTTTACGTAGTATTTATTGGAAGCTGCGCGGATTGATTAATATGGAATGATGTAATTTTGCGTTACGCTACGTTTTCTCAAAATCGATATGTCGATGCACAGCCTAAAACTCTATATTATTATCACCCATCTCAAGATTTTCGACATCACTATCACAATTAAGCACCGTTTCAATGGAAAATGTCCTCCTAAACTAATCACATTCAATTAATGGATCACAGGAATCTGAGGAAGTACGCAATTGCTGCACTTCGTTAAACCCCGAGAGGTCATCATCCTTAAACTGCACTCAGTTAACAAAAGGGATGTTTTTCCAGAAATTTTCCTAGTCACGTATTTTATTCTCCACATGTAGTGTATTTGAATTGTTAACTATTTGCTTGTTTACCTCTGTACATTTAGGACTTCGTTACTTTAGAGCAAGTCACTTCAAGAGGAGCCCGAACAAACAAGCCAAACTTGAATGGTGTTCGCTCTAGTATATATACAACTCAGATTCATCTAACCTCGAAGTGGTTCCAGATTGCCCTAATGTCTCGCAAAGCATGCGTCTTAATCGACCAGTTGTTGTTATACCAACTATCCTGCCCTGCAATTGAAGTAAGTTTGCTTTTGATGCATGAGGTCTCATAAATATTGTATTTTTTATGCAGCGGTTTACATCCCGGCGTATTTCAGCTTCAACTATGCGTCGTACATGTCTATACCAAAAAACAAAGAGCGTAGCGCTGAGCAAGTTGAAGCCGTTTCATCAACTAGATTCATGGCTGCATTATCAGCCAAGAATCGCTATTCTCTCAAGGGCATTTACTTGTATTCGCCCCAGTTCGCATACGTCGAAAATGAGATCCGACTCCTGAAATTGATTAAGGTCGCCCGAACAGATAGATTTCTCCAACCTTCTTCCAATTGGTAGGACTAGCTCTGGTAGTTTATTTGCACAGCCTACTTGTGAAGGTGTGATTGAAATAGACTTCCTCAACACACTGCAGCCGCTTCATCATAGTCCAACTTTTATAGAGAGAATAAGGTTTCGAATGCGGCAATCATAAATGCATCAGCCTGATTTTAGTTACCTCTAAAATGCTTACATCTTTATTCCTTCCAAAGTGGTTAGAGCACTTAAAAGATAAACCTGTAAGTTTACAATACCAGTTTGGTGGAAATGGCGGCTATATTGGTCACATAGTACTCTGAAGTCGGTTGGCAGAACATCGTCATCTATTTTGGCAACCCACCGTAATCGTGTTCATCAAAATCAAAGCGCCTTAGATTTGTTTGATCGATGTGCACTTTGGGACTATCTACTCAAGAAAGGTGTGCCTGAAAAATAGATCAACATTATCAGCACGCTTTTCACCCTTTGTTTACTCATAGTGAGCATTTTGGATGTCTGTCGCACCCTCCAATATTAGTGTTGGTGTGAGAAACTTTTGCTGGCTGTCACATTTCCTCTTAAACTTGACTTTGATAAAGCCACGGAAACCGTGTTCACCAGACAAGAACTACATGGTGTGGAGCAGCCTAAGTTTGATCGGCTCCTTGACTTGAATAATACGGACTACATTGTCCTTATCTGTACCAGATGCCAAACATATAAAGCGGTGCTGGACAGATGCTCAACTCTTGCAGTCAGCGGTTTTTTGATAGGCTTTGTACCGTCGGAATTCAACGTACTCCAGCAAGGTTGACAAAATCGCACAATTGTGCTGATCCTTTGTTAGTGATCAGTTAGAAGTCTTCCAGGAATTCACGTGTTTCGGCACCTATATTAGCGCCTGTGGAATGGGGATGAGATCACAAATAATATAGAAAAAGTTTCATACTTTTTGCCAATCCCCCCAACAGTGGTGCCGCGACGACATCACTATCGTGTTGAAGGCCAGAGTTTACAATTCAGCCATACGTCCGTACCTCCAGTACGGATGTGAAACCTGGCCCATCATATTGGCAGATATAAAGAGGCTGGTGTGTTCCACTATCGCTTCTTACCCAGCATAGCTCTCATCCGGTGGGAACATTGAATGAGCTAATAGCATATAAGACATCATGGATTTGATAAAGGAAGAGCGAATGAACAGCTCAGCACAGCTATATCACTTCTCAGACTCCGATGGCCGGGAAACCTGTGTGTATGCCAGAAATCCGCTCACGCGGCAAGCTTTTATGCGCGCTGACAGCGCGGATGGAAAAAGAGGACGGGATGCCGAACGAGAAACTAATCAAGAGAAATTGGATATCCCACTATGAATTTCACGAGATTGGGTTTCTCCCTACTACACGGCTGGATAACATGGAGGATGAACGCTTTTGTTTGCATATTATATTCAAAACGGCGACTTTTGTTTTCTTTGCCTTTCCTCTCTCTCTTTCCTCTCCAAGCAGTATATCGCAATCCATGTCTAGCCTGCTACTTTGAATTGTATTGCTTGTTTCTATTTATTTATATTGGTATGTTAAGTAACTTTTATATTTAAATCACGGCCGAGTAACTGAGTTACGTTTCTGACAATCTAACGACGTGCATCCATGCAGGTGAATCTTATATGCCTTGGTTATCCAATGTTTCACATTCCGTCTTCCTTGCTTTCCATAATGCGTCGCATATTCTTAGGCCAAATACTGAGGTCGAAATGCACAAAGTAGTCCGCATGTAGAAACTCCCTTTAGCTATTAAAGCATCTGGAATGATGCTTTAGTTAGATTTTCCTTCCCAAGTAAAACTGGTTGTAGTGAATATCAATAGAATGTGATGTAAATGCTGTATCTTGCTTACACGGTCTATGCGCAGTGTTATTTGGGTTATTGCAGTGATCCCAAGAACCTCTGTCGCATTTGGTATTTATGCGTGCTTGCGTAAGTGAAACAGTATCCCGATCATTAGCGCCTAGGTTATGTTGAACATTCCTAGACAACGCTTTCATCTAATATCGTGAGATCATATCCAATACATTTATCGGGACAACTAGTTGGTGTTTTAGAGCTGTAGATCATCTCAAAGGTAACAGTCATGTAGTTAGAATGCAAACTCCTCGAAAACAGCGTGCTAATCTGCAGGATGGGAGGAACGGCTTCAACACATCTCGCTCAGCAGGAAATACGAAACCTTCATTTTTATAGATTCAGAAAGCATGACGATATGGCTTACTCCAAAAACCACAGATGCTCAACTGCGAACTTCTTAATGTGTGCTCACAAATGTTCTTTTGATACGTGCTTTTGATATACAGTTTCCTTGGTAGCAGATTTTGTTCACTGTTATCCTGTTTGTTGCTTAATCTTTCTTAGATTCGTGGCCGTTACTAACCGAATTGCATACTAATAACAAGGGTGCCAACCTCAGAATTTGAAACTAACATCATACTAGAAAAAGGTTCCAGATCAAGTTAAGTTGGTTTTGCATTCCATGCGCAATGCCAGTGCGCGTTGAATACTGCCGTATAAACGTGTCTATTTTATCTCTTCAAGCATTATCGTGCTATGCCGTGAGCTGGTTTGTTGGAAAACACTTGGTAAAAGTAGTTATTTATCAATCGATAGACTACTGTATTTTGTTTGTGGGTCAGAATTGAATTTACCTGTAGAACTGACTGATTGATAAATTTATGAATATAGTGCCCAAAACGACTCTGAACAAATGTACTAAGAGATAACTTCATGTGATTGGCTTATAGTTGTAGGCCAACGAGATAATAAGCCACACTAATATCCTCGTACATATCCTCGTAACTATTTCACGTTAAATGACGGCATATCCACTAGTGCTTAAAAAATCCTGGTGACATAACTTGTTACTTTTGTTAGCACTAAAATGAGGTAATTTCGATATTCACCGCTTGTGGTTTAATCGAGTGATAGCAATCGGTATCCGCAGTTTACTCAGAAATGTACGTGTTCCTCTCTAACGACGTGCGTCCGAAGTTATTTATGCAGCAGCTTTAGGATCTCTTTATAGTATCCATAATTATACACTTAAAACATATGAACTAATTAGGTCCATGAGACGCATATCTGCGTCACTAGCAATTTTAAGTTAGGTCACTTAGCAAACATTGTTAAAGACAATGATTTGGTCAATCATTAATATGATTCACTTGTTGGCTGTTTCTCATGTAAATGCATGTTTCATACAATTGAGCAAAAACCGTTGCAGCTCAAGTTTAAGTGGGACTGGAACGATAGGATGAATCCCGTACGTGTTCCTTTTTCAGCGTTCGTTGATCCAGGAGTTGATAGGGGGTGTTCTGACTTCATGATAGATCTAAAACGAAACCCCGAAAACACACTGGTCCACCAATTTCATGCCCACCTTCCTTACATTAGCTGTCCATGTTATTTCAGTTGGGTGAAGTAAGTAGGAGAGGAAGGAAAATCGAAGGTAACATGGTAAGGTAAATCAGCTAAATGAAGAGAATAATGCCAATGTCGAGGAAAGCGAAAGAAAATATAATCGAAGTATGCAGATAGGAATTAGTCAGGAAAAAGGAAAGGTTTCGTGTTGCCACCCAAGAGCGACTAGTTGATGCTCAAACCCCTTAAATGTAGCTTCTTTGACAACATTTTCTGGAAGCAGGTTCCAGCGCTCGATGACTCGACGCCATAACCAGGTCTCCGCTGTAACTCGATCGGAGCGCGGTTTGGCCAGCTCCATACAATCCCGCGGAGGCCAGATAATCTAGCAGGACTAAATAGCCAGAACAAACCAGGTCCAACCTTCTCTGGCAAAATACGGTAGATTAGGATTAGGTTCCCTCTAATCCTTTGATAGTGCATTGACTGTATCCCTAAACTAAGTAGGCGTTCTAGGTACGCTTGTCCTCGTAATCCCTTGACCAACCTAGTACCGACAAACAACACCCTTTCCAGTGCCATTTTGTCCCGGACAAGGCATGGTGGATTGGCCTGGACGCAATATTCTTGGTGGGGTTGCACAAACGCTGAGAACAGCTTCACAAACACATCAGCGGTTAGGGTCCCGATGAAAAGCACAACATCCGGAACGCTTTACTAGCCGCGCAGTTGATACTCACTTTGCGATCTAGTGCCGATTCACGCGAGAAGTGTGTTGTAGCAAATAAATTTAGCACCAAATGTCTAGACTATGTTAAATGGTAGAGCAATGAGTGAACGTACATCACACGAAGCAATGCATAGTGTAAGGTAGTAGATGAATGTATTGCTGCTTGTTAACGGTTGATCAAAAAGTGAGGGCGAATTCATTTCGATAGGCAATATTGCAGTAAAAACCCAGTGGTGGGTTTTGTCTTTATAATTCGCATTGCATGTTTTTCTACATATGTTAACTTAGTAGCCGCACGGATGCCCAATCAAGTCAATTTCTTTTAACACGTTCTCCCCTGTTATGGATAAAGAGCTAACTTTAGTCACAGCAGTGCATACATTGTTGAATATTTTATCAATTCTTGGAAGCAAAACCCTCTTGGTTAGTGCGATACTAGCTTCAACATACTTAGGTTATCCTGTACGAAATGACAAAACCATGGTCTCTATCTCTTCAGCGTGAAGCCATTGGGAGACATCCTCCTACTGAGTGGAAGCATCAAAGTACAACTATATTTAAATATGCAGCCATCCAGTGGGACGCGTGGAATACCACACAATAAGTTTCAATTCTTAGCTTGCCCAAATCACAAAGACTATCGTCGCGCAATTTGAAACCATAACTTGAACGGGTGAAATCGAGTTGCAAGGTGCAGAAAAGGATGTCAAGTGGATTAATCATGCATCAGATCGCTGTTTATAATCCATGCTACCTGCAATAAACTTTTCATTCCTGACATGCAACTTGCAATTATCTGTGTCGAAATTCTGAGAACAAATGTTATTGTAAAGCATGCTAATGAAATTATATTTTTCTGCTCTATCCCACAAACACTGCAAATTGAAACTTAAACTATATGCAATTTCCTTAGTACATCGCAGTTAGAATACAAGCTACATAGACCACATACCAGTCCAGATGACCACTTCATCCATAAGAGACTCGTCAGTGGCACGCATTCCCTCGGTTCTCCACAGAAAATAGACCGCTTGAAAGTAAATGGGTTGCACCAGTGCCCGGAAACGTATACAACTAATTGAAATTATCTATTGACCAAATATTCTCATATGGCAACGTATATTCCTGACAAACTATTATTCTATGCAATCTGGTTGAACCCTAATATTCCTGCTTGTATTTCCAATCGGTGGGTTTATAGTTAATTTTTCACTTTTGCTAGGTGAATCTGATGCGATTTCCGCAAACACCTACGGGTTACAATGCGGAATCCCGAGCGGTCGATGGGAACTGTATAACTGGATCAGTATCAGTTTTGTCGGATACCAAAACCTCAGGTGTTGATGTTCCGAAATACACGGCAGTGACAATGGCTGCTTTCTGCACGGCGAGTGGAGAGTGGCGTTTGAACCAACAGACTGGCTGTGTCTGCGACTCTGGATATGAATACGACAGAAGTAGTCACTCCTGTCAAAGTGAGTTTCCCATTCATTGCGAAAACACTTTCTGCTGCATAAGCGTAAATGAAACGCGTTATTCTACGTGCGAAGTACATCAGTATCTAGTTACATAAAATTGTTTCTCATTATCTGTATGTAGGTTATGCAGATAATTTACCGACAACTGAAGGAAAAAGTCTTCGTGACTGAAAGAGCAGTATGGAGCTAGTGGGATGAGCGCCCAGAACCAGATGGATTGACACAAAACGAAACAGTCTCTTGTTAGCCCTCCTTTTATTTTTTCTGCCACATAGCCTAACTAAGCTTCTCCATAACTTGTCAATTCAAGCATCCTAGGAATATAGGATCTATTCTAAATACTAATGACTTTGCAAGTTATGTTCGCCTAGTTTCATGTATAATGTAGGCAGTCAGTTAATAAAAACATTAATTGCTTCCCATTTTCACCTGTTCTCCGAGCCTCTTCCTTGGTTTGCAAAAGTTTTGTCACCACACGAGATGACTTCCTCTGTGCACTATTGGGTCGAATGCAGTCCGCTAATTTGGCCGTCGATTTGTGAGCAACTATCAAGTGACTTGAATTGACCTCTTCGATGTGTTTCTCATGACCTTCATACATTTACTCATGATCTATGATGGACACGGACGATCCGTTAGGTAGTTTTACTCTTGCAGTTGCGGTTACGTTAATGCTGACTCTTCGGCTATGCAAGAATTTTTAAAGCTGTTTTATTTCTATCCATCTTAAAATTTGGTAGACCGAATCAATCGCCATGTGCATGTATATCAAATGCTGCGTCTAGTATCATGAGTAGAGGAATTTGCTTCCATTTCGCGTCCCTCCTTGTCTTAGGATCTGGGTATTTTTCTAACTGAAGCCTATTCATTGTTCGTCCATATGTAGTGAAACCAGGAAGTGAGCGTTGTGGTCCATAAAAGTTCCCTTATGTTCTTTTTTCTTGTTTACATTCAACTTCCTGTTTGACTCATAATTCTTAACGCAATTTTGACACAGTAACTTGTAAGCAACATTTCATTTTGTGTGTGCCCTAGATCTAGCTTTCGATTTCATCGAGGTTCTCTACAAACTAGCAGTTGCTTTGTGAGCCAATGCAAGACCGTGCTGCTTAAGTAATCTTGCTGTAATCTCGGAGATGTTCTCTGCTTTTGCGCAGGCTTAGAGGCCGTAGCTAATTTGTTTAGACATCGCTGGATGAAGCTGTATGGATATCCGTTAAGGAGAAATGATCCATACAGACTTATCTTTTCTTTCCCCTTTGCCTCAAGAACGCTAGGTTGTGTTTCAGTTCGATGCAAAAAGAGTTTCCAAAGAGCATATTTTTGGATAATTCGTGTGAATACTGTAGTAGTTTAAAAGCTGGTCATTGTGCGTTCCCTTCCTTTTAACCGATGTTTGCAAATCTCTATTAACCGTCCAAGTGAATAACATATCCAAGAAGAGGAGTTGGTATTCCATCTCCTAGTTAATCTAAAATGAATTTTTCCACTGTATTGGTGAGCAAATGTTATGCAACCTCGACTTGACTAAGTCTCAGTGTTACGAATGAACAATCGACATATCGGATCCACAACTTTGGATTGCTTATATGCAATGCATTCTCTTCAAATTTGCATACTATCTCTGCAGCCAGTCCTGATACAGGAGACTCCACCCGTGCTCCTTTCACTTGTTTATTGATTTGTCCATCAACATCGAAGTAGTTTGCGATGTAGGAGTCCATTGGCCAGCACAGATTTTCAGTCGTCCTCCTTCAACAGCCCTTTGATGATTGCATGCTTTGCATTCTGTAATTTACAGACCTAAAGAGAGCATTCACGTTGAACGTGACCAGCTTTTCGTCATGCTCCACTCGCGTGACTTCAAACCTCCACAGAAACGGATAAGTACTATGTATAGATTGCTGTGATCCAAATGTGAGGTGCTTGAAGCTTCTTCACAACTCTGCCGCCTAGTTTTACTGAGTATGTCGGGGAGCGAATTACTAAAACCGGGAACGATCATCCCGAGCTACCAGCGCAATAAGACTTCTTAATTCATGTAAATTATTAAATGACCTCTGAGTAAATTTCATAAATCCAAGCGAGGTATGGTGACATATATTAACTACTTACATGATTTGATTTTGAGTGTAGGAGTTTTGATGTAAATATTACAGTTCCTCTCTGAAGCATCCAGCACAGATAATCAAGCACGTGCCCTAAAATTCCCTGGACGGCCGTTTTTACCTGTTGGTTCTCGTCATACCGAGGTGCGCATTCATCGGCTCCATCAGGATCCGAACCCTTGACCCCTAGCGCTTCGCACTAATGAGATAACCTCGAATGGCGACGAAAGTCTATAATCCAGCTGTCGATATCGGCTATTTCCATTGAAGCTGAACAACTCATATAAATCATATGTGAAGGCAATGACGATCCAACGTAGGCGACGTTCTGTCCCAAAAGATTTTGATCCCATTACTGTGTTAAATGACTGAATTGGTCGTCAATTCTACTATTTCGTACCTCCATTATATCACATGCGTAAATCTAAACATTGCCAGCCAATTCTTTTTTGGAAGCTGAGAAAAACTAGAAGCTTTTTATAGACCGGCGAACATTCCATTCGCAATTTCTTCCTTTAAGAATCTTTTCCTTACATGTCATTGTTCACGATATCTAAACTAAAGACATGCATATTCCTGCGCACCGTAGGGCTCACACAACAATACTTTTCTGCAGCATATATGTGCAGATAGCATATAAGTTATGTTAAGCACTCTTTTTATACTGTTCTATGAATTTTACGTTTTGATGTTTAACTGATTTAGAGTCTTTTGCGAGAGAATTTCGTTAAAATCTAGGAACTGCTTACCTTTAATTATTAGCACGTCATATCTTGTAACAAGGGGTTTTACTGAGTTCGCCTGATTACTATTAGGAAGAACGCGATCAAAATTTGTCTGTATTTCACTATAGCCTATCGCAATTAAAGGAAACACTTTACTTGAGTGATTGTAAATGCTACACCCTCCTCCTAGATCATTGAATATAGGTTTGGGATTTACCAAAATTGATGGAAATCTCATGAATCTTTACCCCGCTTACATTGTGGTTTGCTTATGCTGAAACGAAACTAACGTCTCTTTATCATTCGCATCCATTCTAAGACATTAGCTAAATTACTAAATCGCAATTAAGAGATAGTCACGCACATAGTATGAATATAATAGCAAATTTGACCCGTGGAACAGTAGCTTTTTCGTTTTCTCATAATGCTTTGGTCCTAGCACCCTTAGATCGTTCACTCTACTGCTTTAACCAAAGAATAACGCAAGAAACTTGCGGGTGGCATGGTTCTAACATAGGACCAGTTTGGATGATTTTATATAACCATCTGGGTAACCCTAAGTTAATTTTCAGCAATCGGTACATTACCGAAAGAAGCGAAAGACGGCATGTCGCTCAATACTTTTACCAAGACCAATTATTCCATCGCCAGGTTTTAGCTGCAAGTGATTCATTCCTATGATTGATTCAAGATAACGCCTAGCGTCTGTTTATCTTCGGTTGGTGAGAAGAGAATAAAACCTAGATGTTCACTTAAATACAAGCAAAACAAGCTCATATAAACATCAGCTTCATCTCCACTTTATGCGGTGTTCCATACGAAGACCGGTGTAGAAGGCCAGAAATTCTTTTCCTGTATTTTCGTCTAGTGAGATTTGGCCGTCGTGAAGTACCGAATAGTATTTCCTCTTGCGTAACACGTGTTGCGGATAGCCCTCCGTATATACGCACCTAGTATCTCGCGAGAAAAGCGGTACAATATTGCACTACCGGGTCTAGAACCGGTGGGGCACCAAATGGAGTCTAGCGAATATATGGAAAAGCTTGCCGCTGAACGCAGTCGAAGAAAAATCGGTGCAGGAAACTGAAATAACGTTTACAAACACTTTGACACTCTGAAATATCGGGGTTGATCGCTAACACATTGGCCGGAATAACTGAGGGCTTTATGTTAGAAACAGGTGGATTTATCTCTTATTGCTGCGTTTATCCACTAATCTGCAATCATTCTTTGCAACTAAAAGTAACCTTACGCCGTTTCCATGTAGTGTAGTGCATATTATTTTCGACAGCTGATGTAAGGTTTGACCTCCAAAAACGCAGCTCGGCATGACTAGAAGTATACTGAATGCTCCTTGATACATGTATTTACTGGGACTGCCTGAAGTTTTCGTATTCAAATGCCCATTATAATTAAAGTTAGAGCAAAGCACATTTAAATTTTGGCTTTGCTTTTTCTCCGTAAATGTATTCATATTCATTGGTAGTTTGTCAGTTGGTTGGATAGCGGAATGGATTTACATCAGTCACTGTTGCCTGAATTTTATTTTGAACTTCGGTCGCTGCACAGACTTATCACAACAAACTTACTATGTTGCAAAAGTAAATATTCTAGTCCTAGCTTTTCTCCTCTAGCTCACCTTGAGTCTTTTAATCTTATTTTTATTGATTTTATCAGAATATTTAATTTTGCTATTGAAATTCCTTACTAAAACTTCACATGCTTGCTATGATGATAGGTAGTCATTATTATTCCCGTTGTCCTGAAAGCTTCAAGAAAAGTGAGTCTGTAAGTTTAATTGCAATGGAAACCATGTAAGCCAGTGTGTACGACAGTATATAGTCCATTACTCTATAGCTCAATGTTTGGATGCTCATTTCACACGAGATTGCTTGTGGCTGTGACGAACAAGTATCCGAGCCAAGTGCTTAACCTACGGATGGTTTGTGTGGTTTAGTGGATTTTGGGAAATAACTGAGGCATACAATAAAATAGGTTACGATGTATATATTGAAAAGTTAATGAACAGCCTAACCAGCGGGCGTCATTATTGTAGTGACCAGACTGTTACATTTTGCTACTGCACCGTCGTACGGCCAGTTTTTTACTAGGAAGTAGCATGATAAACAGTAGGCACTACAATAGCTAAACAACCTGAACTCGACCAGTTGTACATATTAGGCAACTCGGTTGCTTTTCTTTGGAAGCGAACAATAGGCTAGCATTTATTTATGGTGGCGCAATTCTACTCACTAACAATGCAATGAGTTAAGCAATGTGAAAAAAACGTATCACTTTTGTCCTGTGAGTTCGATGCTGTGCGAGTTCTACCAACACA